GAAGATTCTGAATCATATAATTTATGTTCACCTCAATAATACACATAGTATAAATATTTTTCCATATTAATATGTGTTGGATATTGTATATTATTTATTTTAATTTCAGTACGAATAACAAAATAAAATTATAAAAGAAATAAAATAAAATAACAAATATATAATTTTAGCATATAAATTTAATTGTTACAAAATAGTTATCATTAGAGTCATCTAAATGAAAATAATGAATATGTTTACTTAATATTCGATGTCATTGTCAATGTTATTTATAACATTGCTCACATCACATTCGTTCAAAAATTGTTACGCCTCACGTATTTGAAAGCAAAAACACAATAAAAGAAAAGTAATCCATATTAAGAATATTATAATACCTGAGGTCTTGGGTATGACGCAAATTAGGAAAACTTAAGATACTATATTGATAGAAATTGTATCAACAAGGTGCATAATCCTTTTGTCAACGAGCTAATATAAGATTCAAAGTTGTTATTTGGACCAATGTGCGTTATAATGTCAAGATAAAACCATAAATTTATTTTAGTTACAAACAATAGTGACAAGAAAAGAAATAAAAATATTACATATTTACATGATAAAAATAACGACAACAATGATCATGATTTCAAATGAGGAAAGAACCTGATACTCAAACTTACGTTCCGGAAACACAATTCCAGGATCGTGAAGCAACCATTAATGTTGAAATGCCAAAAACCACACGTGTTGCTGTTGAGGGCCGAAATAATTTAAAAATATTAAATTTTATTTTTATTGAAATATAATATAAAATTTATATTGAATTAATGGATAATGGGTCTCATGTATTTAAATGAATGTGTAGGAATGTGAGTGTGTGTGTTTAAATGGAGAGAGATTTAGTTGAAAGATGATGTGGAGATGATGTGATTGAGAAAGACTGTTACTTTTTGATATTGAATGAATGAGATGTGTGTTAAATAGTTGTGGATGCCCTTAGTGAATATTGTTAAGTATATAAAGGCCCAGGCCCATTATGGCATATTATCAACTCTATATATATGGCCCTTCCATATCAAAGAAAATCATCAACACAGAAAACCCTAGGTTCGTAACATGGTATCGAGCCACAACAAATAATTTTTTTTTTCTTCTTCAAGTCTCACCTTCCATACCATTCATCTCGCCGCCCCCATATTCACTCTCCGGCCAAACGTCGCCAAAAAATACTGCGCGTGTGAGTCACACGCGCCGGAATAGTTTGCTGTCGGGAATCTTACGCGCCGGCGCGTGGGGACCCGTGGCTTGCCGGAATTTTTTCCGGCGAACGTTTGCTGGATCGGAATTTCGAGAGGTTGCTGACAGTGGTGTCAATTTTCTGTTTTGAAGTCTTTTGGGTGTCTGTTTTGGCGTTTTTCAGACCAGTCCTTTGTCGTGGTTAGGGTTCGTTTATTCCGATCGATCCCGACACTATTCAATTCCTGATTTGAGCCTTCACTCGTCCGTCTTGTGATCTTACGCTGCCCATCACAGCCTCACCTCTCTTATACATCATTGTTTGCATATCACCCGCCTATTGCGGAGGTATTTTGTCATCTGTCGTCGGATCATGTCGTAACTCAATGCCATTGTTATCAATATCACTCTCGATGGCCAAAATTATCTGGAGTGGGCTTTTTCTGTGGAAACAGTATTATTGAGGGGTTATGGTCTAGCCTTTCACTTGAATGACGGCCCTGAACGAAAAGTTGACAATAGCAACGTTGTTGAGATCAGAACGTGGCAAATTAATGACGGGAAAGTGATGGCTGCCATCTTCAATAGTGTCAAGTAGTCCATGATTATGAGTCTTTCCACTTTTCGAACAACTAAGGCGATGTGGTCTTACTTGCAACAACGCTACGTTCAGGATAGTGGTGCACTCTTGCACAAACTTATGCAGCATATGCATGTCATTGAACAGAATGTTATGTCCATTGATGAGTACTACTCAACTTTTGATCGTTTGATGGGACTTGCCTCTATGCGTGGAAGAGGAGTGTTCAACACATATATTTGTTGAGAAATTTTTTATATACCGCTTTGTCATGGGGGTTAGAGCATAATTTGAGTCTATTCGTACATGGTTACTTTATAATTCTTCTACTCTAACCATGGCACAAGCATTGTCTGAGTTGATTGCTGAAGAGGCTCGTCTCCGTTCGATGTCACTTGCTCCATCGACAATATCTCATGGTGTGTTAGTTGCTTCTCATCGGGCATCCTCCCAATGGGTTACTGCACCCAAAGGTGGTTCTTCAGACTCTTGTCAGCATTGCGGGAAAACAGGTCATATTGCAGAAAATTGTTTTGCTCAGCATCCAGAAAAATTGGCTAAGTACCGTGCACGTCGTCCTGCTCGGACTCGTGGTACGACTCCTGTTACTAAAGGGTCTGCATCCGTTGACACTGCTTCTCCTGTCAATGCTCCTCCTCAGTCTTGGGTTCTCGATTCAGGGGCAACATTTCATGTGACTTCTGATCAGTCCCAGTTGGTTGCCTGCAAATCGGTCACTGATGGTACTTCTATTCAGACAGCTGATGGCACATCTTGTCATATTACCCATTAGGGTTCTCTATGCAATTCACGTTTTTCAGTACCTAATATCTCTTATGTTCCTAAGTTATCATAAACCTTCTTTCAGTTGGTCAAGTCACTGATCAAAATTGTTTTTTTGGATTTGATGAATCATCTTTAGCAGTGTCAAACGGGCCGGTCCGGTCCGGTCCGTCCCGCGCTGGCCGCGGTTCAAACGGGGCGGGCCAAAATGGCCCGCATGTGTACGGGCTAGGAAATCCATGGCCTGTGGCCCGCCCTCATTAGCCCGCGGGCCGAGTCGGCCCGCCCTCATTAGCCCGCAGGCCAAAATCGCCCGCCCGCGGGTTTTTTTGGTATTATGTACTCTTATATACTTTTTGGTTTGTTTATCCTTATATTTACTAGTATATTGATAAACTAGCAAGGCTTCATGTGTAATGATGTTAAATATTTGTCATCCAATTTTTATTTTTATTTTTTTATGAATAGTTATAGGGTATTTACGCGGAGGAGAGACTTAATTCACATAAAATATTATTTGATTCATAGTATTTTTATTATGTAAAAAAGTGTTTTATGTGCATTCACAAATCTTAATATCATTGTCACATTTTAAAAAATATAAAACAGATAAATATGGAAGAAGAAGAAGAAGAAGAAAAAACAGCTGCCGAGAAGCCCTTCGTGAAAGAGATGAGTTGCACAGGAGGGTTAGGGTCACGTAGACGTAGTAGAATGAAAGTGAAGAGTTTTGAAACTTGAACGACGCAAGTTAGAAGTTAGAAGTAAAAATAAGAAATACTAAATTTAAATAATATAAAATTAACAAATAAAAAAATAATAAAAAAACAGGCTGGACCGCGAGCCAGCCTGCACCAGCCCGCTTTAGACCGTGGGCCGAACAGGGCGGGCCAAATAGGCCCGCGATTGAACGAGTTGGCCAAGCAAAGGCCCAAGCCCGTCCATTTAGGCGGACGGACGGGCCAGCCCGCGGGCCATGGCCCGTTTTTACAGTGCTACTCATCTTGTTTTATTTAGGATCGTCGAAGCGGGACCGTGATTGGGACTGGCCATCGCCGTAGGGATTCTTCCAGTCTTTACATCCTAGACACTTTGCATCTTCCCTCTCCACCTGGTTCTACCGCTCGTGTGTCCTCCATTGCCCCGTCTTCCGTCTCATCCTTCGCCAAATGGCATCATCGTCTTGGTCATTTGAGTGGATCCCGTTTGTCTACTTAGATTAGTAATGGTTGTTTATGTCGTACTTCTATTGGGTCTAATTTTCATTGTAAGGGTTGCAAACTCGGGAAACAGTTGCAAACCATATTCTACTAGTATTTCTCATTTAGCTAGGCCTTTTGATCTTATCCACTCTGATGTATGGGGTCCTTCTTTTTACCCTACAAAAAGTGGCAATAAATATTATGTTCTTTTTATTGATGATCATTCTCGTTATACTTGGATAGATTTTATGAAACACCGTTCTCAGTTGTGTTCCATTTATAAAGATTTTGCTCGCATAGTTCATTCTCAGTTTTCTACTCCTATTCGAGTTTTTTGTTCTGATTCTGGTGGTGAGTATTTATCTGACAATTTTCGTCAGTTTTTGACCTCTGAGGGTACTCTTGCCCAACTCTCCTGTC